GGCTTATGCTCAACAAAATGGGGGGCACATTGAGCACCTTTTCATTTGAATTAAACCTACCTAAACCAAATTCTTTGCTTTCATTTTTGACATTAGTGCATTTTGTTTTTGTTCAGTTTGTTTGCTTGTTAGTTTTGTCATTTGTGAGAAATTGTAAGTTTAAAGAAAAAATGAACACCTACTTTTTTGTTGATGAAATGTCATTCTCACAGTTTTTGACATTTTGATTTGAAACTTTGTGCACAAACCCCAATTGGGTCACCCTATGTATCTACCAAATTTCAGCTGAACCAGCAGCCTAAAATCAGATTGACAACTCACCAAAAATGATAACTTTTTTTTTTTGGCCCACCCTGTTGTAAACACTCTAGAATTTGGTTCAATAGAATTATTGAAGTCTCTTGGTTGTTTGGGTGAGGAGCTGCAGTTGTTAAAGCTTTGATGTGAAAATTCTTTTTTTTCTGTGTATCAGGAGGCAGTGGATTCAGTAGTGCTCTACAGATGTGTCCCATTTGACTTCATAAAGCCTCCTTATCACAATTTTTTGACTGTCTAGTACTATCTTGTTATATCTTATAAAGGAAATACTACTGCATTAATGGGTGCTTTTAAAAGGACTGGAATGGGAAGAGACTCCACATAGTCCAAGATTTGATAGGAAACTATTCTCTTTCTTCTCCAGTCATTATATTCTAAACACACCATCAAATTCAGGACTTACCTTTGTATCTGGGGCCTTAAGACAATACAGGGTCATTCCATTTCAAACCAGCTAGAGGCTGGAGCATGACCCCCTCTGATATTGATGAAAATGTTTTATGTGGTACCCCTCATGGCCCAAAGTAAGAATGCAAAATACACAATAATTGGCACAATAATTCGTTAAATTTTGTGAAATTAAAAAAAAGGGGCACCTCTTCATGCTCATGTGGGCCAAAAACTTTCTGGCCTAAATGAATGCAGCAAACACCATTGTTCTTTAAAAAGGTTAGACTTCTGAAGTTATTTCATATACTTTTTTCCTCAAGGCAATACTGAATGAAATAAAGCTATGTCAAATTTGCCAATTCTTGGCACATTCAGAAATTTGCAAAATGTCAATGTATTCATTAAACCCTATCATATATGTTTTTGGAATCAGCAGAAAAAGATCTAATGATGTGTGTCCCATTTTTGTCCCAACAAATTCCACTTATGAGATTTGATGGCTTGAAATATGCAAAAATCACAAATTTCACCAAAAAACACTGTTTTCAATTGCATGGTGCCATTATGCAGCTCAACAAACTTGAAAAATTTGCAGAATGTCTGCCATTTACTTGAGTAGAAGATGAGAGCAATTTCAAAGCTCATATATACTTTTTAAGGCATACCACAAATTTTTATTCAGACCCCACCTCACAATTTCTACCATTTTGTTTTTATGGCCAAAATTATTTCTTATGATTGCAGTTATGAGCTAAAAAGTAAAGAACTGGTAATGAAAACTGCATGTTCTTTGGAGAGGGTCATGCTCCAGCCTCTGGCTGATTTGAGATGGAATGACCCTACACAATCAAGAGGACATGACATTAAAAGAATTAGCCTTCATGGTGTCAAAGGAGAGAAGTGCTGAGACTGCATCCACCTCATGCATGAAAAAGTTGCATTTCATGACTGCACTTTGAATGGTTTTCACCTTGTAGCCAGACAACCTAGTAACTTTAAACTTCTAATAAACAAATTATGTAGTGTTTCTGATGTGATGCAAAAAATTAAAAAACCAGAACTTCTGCAGTTAATTTCATAAGGCATCAAACAGATTGGTGGTTTTTTTTTTTGTGCCACCTGATGTGTGGGGTGAAACAATACTTTAAAAATTCCTTCATTGTTTTCTAAGGAAGAAAGTTTTCCTTTTATACATGACTAAAACTGAAAAGTTAGGTAAGTGATCAGTATTGAACAACTATGAGGAGTGTTTTATTTATTTATTTAGTGCCATTGCATGAATCTCAATATGCCCTGTTATACAATTTACAGGTTTTAAAATTCCACCTGAAGTATGCCCTATGGTTTCTTTTCACTTATATCAGTATTACAGGTTTCATGCAGTTGGATTGGATAGAGCTGAAATTGTTAGTACCAATGCAATATTCTGCAATGTCTTGAGGATGAATGGGTTTCACATTTAATATGAGTTACAAAAATTGTCATTTTAGCTGTCACTACTCTGTCTTTGGTTTCACAGGCAAATGCTGTTGGTTCCTCTTAGCTCTACAAGATTCCAATCCATCACTCAGACCATAAATTGTACCATTGCAATATCCTTTGCACAGCTTTAGTAACGCGCATCACACAGTGTTGATTTTCTTTCTCCACATTGATTTTGTGTTAGTGAGAAAAAATTGCAATAAATTGCTGCTGAAAGGCAGAAACGAAGGAAGAAAAGCTGAAGCAAGTAGGGAAGAATGATGAATGTATGATGAGAGCAAGATCAGTAATTGAAGCAGTTCAGACTTCGCCCCGTACACTCCTAATGTAGTATGGTGGTATTCAAATATGTGGTATGTACAGGGTGGCGCAAAAGTTGTGCACCAAAGGGGTTTCACTGTTGCACAAAATTAATTCTTGTTTCTTTCTATGCAAGTAAGTGATGACTACAAAATTAACAAAAGACGAGAGGGTGGAGTTAAGATAGGTTCAAACACTGTGTACAGCGAAATGAAGTGTTTCCAAGTTAATGGCAAATGATTAGAACATTTACTGTAATCTACCCTATGGTGCGTGCAGTGGCACAACTAGCCCTAAAGTTTTGAGGGGTTTGAAATTCTCATGACCTGTCTTTCAAATGTCTCCTAATGCAAGAAGACATTATCATCAGGAGAGATACACTCAACAAAAATGCGAAACGACACGAACAAAGAAAATGAAACAAAGAAAAATTTTATGAAATGGCTAAATGATAAAAGCACATTCGATAGCTGAATACAGCTTTAAAAAAAAAACTAAATTAATTTCAGGTTTCAACCCAAATACCACTGTGCAGATATGCAACTGGAAATTAGTTAACCTGTACGTGATTTATGCCTTTTATTTGAATTGTCATCCTGTTCCAGAAAAATTCAGTAGCGTCACATGTTCAGGACATTTCCTTCTCAGGTTCACTTTACTAAAGTGAGTAGCTACATGTGACTGGCATGACCTTCACCTTTCACCTCCTATCTTTGTGCCTTTCTGGCCTCGCTCTCAGATTGTTAGCTCATATCTTTCTGCGTCCCCCACCCTTGGGAAAGAGGGGGGTGGAGAAGTAGAGAGGATTAATTAGTTAACCCCTCCACCCTAAAATCATGAGCAGGAGTTTGGGGGGGGGGGGGGGTTCTGAACCCCCCACCCTCCTTGGTTGGACCCTGGGTGCACAACTTCTGTGCCACCCTGTATATGATTGGCCAAAATAAGTAAGCCGCTTGAAATTTTGCAATAAAATCCATACGTGACTTCAAAATTTAATAGAATGTTACCTAATATGTTTTTCAATGGTTTTTTTAATACAGTCATGTTTATGCGATTTCCTATTCTTCAGTTATGGCAGGTTTTGTTAAATGGTCAAAATTCTGAGTGAACAGGCATGCCACTGGCACTGTGAGGCACAAATCTACATTTGCATTGGAATTCATTCAGTTTATGCACAAGCAAGAAATTTGCAGATGGTGGAAAAACACACCTTTGGCAACATCCTGTTAAGTTTTCACAATGATCGCTCAGGAACAGATTTTAAAGTCAAGTTCAAATGTGGACTCTTGCCTTGCAATGGCAGTAACAATCTTTTTCACTCTGCATTATATTCAATTTAGCAGAATCTGCCATAACTCCAGAATGGAAAATTAGAGCCACATGACACATTGAAGAACATACTAGGTAACATTCCTTTAAGCTTTGAAGTCAATCCATTCTAAAATATGGGTTTTATTCCAAAGTTTACCTTACCTTTCTTTGGTCAACCCTGTAGTTCCACTACATCATACTTTAATAATATTTTCCTTCTTGCTTCTTCTTTTCTCCTTTTCTGCCTCCCAGCAGCACTTTATTGCATTATTTTATTCATGCACACAATAAATCAATGTAGAGAAATGGAACTATGCGTGACTCATGCCACTCATGACTCATGTTATAAAAGTTGCACAGCCAATGGGTATTGCACCAGTGTAGTTCATGGTTCGAGTCCTATTTTGACAGATTGGACTTTGGCAGCATTTGCCTGTGAAAGCAAAGACAGTAGTGACAATTAAAACTGAAATTTTTGTGACTCATGTTACCACATGAAAACCTATAAATCTTCAAGACATCACAGAAGATTTGTTTGCATTGGTAACTGAGGATGAGATGACTCCTTTGGCAGAAAGCATTGTATGTCACATCCCCCCAGATTTTCAGCTCTTGCCTAAGTAACATCTTCAAGAAAGCATAAATTAAAAATAAAAAAAAGTTTTTACTGTGAAGAGTAGTGATATGACCATATTGGCTGCCTTAAATTCAAAATGGTGATGATGCATGACATGGCAGCCAAGATGATCAAAACAGGATTCTGTGTACTTTAGGATATACTATTTGAGGTGGCATTGTCTGTTGGATTTTTGCATTCATTTTGAAAATTTGATTCATTTATCCCTTTTGCTGTGGATTGACCCAGCTGTCTGGTTATTGGAATGCCAGTGATACAATTTCAAGATCTAGCTGCTCCATGATTATTAAGCAGAAAATGGTTGGTTATTGATTGGTATCAATCCTCTCTTATCTTTAGATCTTGTAAACATTTTCAATCAAATATTGGGAGGGAGTTTGTCCTATTTTTCTTCTGACAGATTTATTTAAGCAAGATTTTTAACAAGGGGCAATGAGGCAGACCAAATAGGTTCAACCAATGTCCTACACAACATTTACAATTTCATTTTTTTTAAATTCAACTTGCTCCAGGAGGAGAGGACTGGATTGGACATAGGATGTAAGATATGATATTGTATGTTTTTTAAGGTGATACAGGTAATTGAATTGGGTAGACAATGACGAGATCAGGAAAGGACTTCTACATCCGTTACTATGTTGGCCACAAGGGAAGATTTGGCCATGAATTTTTGGAGTTTGAATTTCGTCCTGATGGTGAGTAGAGATTGAGTTGCTCTTGCTCTTAGGTGATGTTGATATTAATGATGGATCACTTTTTCTTTTTCTAGGAAAGCTGAGATATGCCAACAACTCAAATTATAAAAATGACACAATGATTCGCAAAGAGGTGAGTTTGAGTTACCTTATTGCTATCAATGCTGTGAGGAAGCTCAGTGAGTCAATGAAAGCATGATTTTCTCTGTCTCATGAGCTGATATAAAATACACAGCCAGAAATTAGAACTTAAGTGATTTTTCTTGCCTGGCCAAATAAAAGTCAGCCCAAAGAAGCTTTCAAAGCCTTTGACCAACTACGGTGGGTGCATATAGCTGAAGGGTTTGCATATTATAGTTTCAGTCCTTATATTGACATGAGCATGCCATCTGGAAATTTCAAGGGGGATAAAGTTTGCAGGTACTTTTAGTCCAGTTTGCTAAGAGCCAGTCTGTCATGAAGTACATTATACCTTTTATATCGTTTCACATATACAGGGCCCATGTTGCCTGTAGTTAATGTGCCAAGTTTCAGCTTTTTACGTCCATTGATTTGCATTGTACCTGACTGTTCATAAGTAAAACTTTTGAAATGGGGTCACCCTGTAAGTATTCATTGTTTTTTTTAACTTTCAGTAAAACATGTTGGCACCAGCCCTTTGTGGCATCTGATTTCAGTATCATTACAGCTTAGACTTAACCTATATCAAGCAACTGATTGGAACAAGACACAGATTGGAAATTGTTTATTTAATGAGTGACTAAATATGAAGCTTCATGAGTTTGGTAATAGTTGAAGCAATGGAATATATTGTCCAATGTCAAAAATCTTAACCAGACTGTCTTAGCATGATTGCATCTCCCTCCATATGATTGAAAACAAAAAGAGGTTTATCAGTGACTGTTCTTGGAAATGTGGATTTGCATCTTCTGTCATGATTCTGTTCATGGTAGTCACTTTACACTTATACTGAAGTTCCATGCTAAAGGAAATATGTGTTTCTCCTTGTGATACAAATGCAAAATTTCTCACTTTATTTGGCAATGAATCATAATTTCACATCCTAGACTGTGCCTGGCCACAAGAGCAAATTTCATCTACTGTTCTTTTGACTGTTACTGTGGCAGGTCTGTTAATCCCTAGTATGAACCCTGTGTACAAGGGACATTGAGTAAGTTTCCTGCCAGAGACACTTCCAGTTGTAATACAAAATTTATTGATTCTTTCATGGGAAGACGTATGCAATTGATGTGGACTGGCAAAATATAATCTCAAATTTAAGCAATAGACAGCTTTTATGAATTTTTTTCCAATCTGCAACCACAGGGTCAGTTGAAAGATTAGTAAAATGGAGAAGATTCCTGTGATGAATTTTCTTAACTTGAAGGAGTCCATCTTTTTGCAGATCATTTAGCAGAGCCAGTGGAAGACTATCTTCTCAATCACTGAAATATGGGCCAGAATATCGACTCCTTCAAGACTAGAACTTTTATCAAAGAAATCATCGCAATTTCAATACCCCTTTAGCAGGTTGTACATTGAAAAAAGTCCTAGAAGCTATCAATCTTTGACTAATGAGATCCAATTTCTTTCACCTGTCTCAATCAAAGATAATGTATTTCTATAAGAAAAGTAAGAATTATATATTACAACTGCAAGGGCCTCAGGCCAGGAACTTTTTGAATGCCCCTTGTAAGCCTCCATGGAAGAGTCCTAGGTTAGCTGAGGTGCCTTAAGGAATTCACATCACATATTATGAATTAAGCATCTGACCATTTCAGCCTCCTTGATAGTGATATGAAGAACCTGTAGTTTGACAATTAACTCCACTCATCCTCTTCCTTCATCATTTAAAGACTCATTTGACTGTACTCTCCCATTTAGCTTTTCCTCTCCAATTGACTTTGTGCATAGTCCCAATATTATCTGCTATGCAGCACTGCTATGACTCACCAGGACAGGGTGGAGAAAAATAAGGAGTCTTGTGCCAATACATAGTGGATAGACAGCTACCCTTAACTTATATACAGCACCTTTCCAAAAAGGTCCATCGAAAAATATTACCAAGGATCTTGGTAATATTTTTCTCTCTCCTTTTCGATGGACCTTTTTTGATAAGTACTGTATATACATATTATAGGTCTATGACCACTCCCATCTCTACCCTTAATATATGCAGGCATATGTCCATCCATGTGTGCTGGATGAGCTGAAACGAGTCATTGAGGACAGTGAGATCATGGATGAAGATGATCAAGTCTGGCCTGCTCCTGATCGTATTGGGCGACAAGAGTTAGAGATTGTCATGGGGGATGAGCATATTTCCTTCACCACCTCCAAGATTGGTTCTCTAGTAGATGTCAACAATTCCAAGTAAGTCTGCCTTAAGGTAGCCCCTTTAAAACCAATATGGTGAGTTCCAGTAGTGTAAATCAGCTCTGCATATCAAGTTGGAGGCCTTGAAAAACTATTTCAATTTAATGCATAATTAGCATAAATGATGCTAATTAGGCATCAATATGGCCACCGTGAGTGGAAAAAAGTAGCAAAATTTCAGCACGATATTTTAAAAATCCTTGAATATAAATGGATGAAATTCACCCACATAATAAAAGACATCATGAAGCTTGGAATGATGGAGCAATTTTATGAAATTCCTTCAGAAGAAAGTATTCAACCAATTGAAAAATTGTCTCCATTTTGACCTGCTTCTTATGTATTAATATGCTAATTATTCAAATCACATCCACAATATCAGGATATGTTCTCGTCATTCCAAGACCACCAATACAAGGAAACTTAGTGCAATAAATCATACAGATATCTCTACTAGGTCCTGAGATAATATGCTCTAGAGCCCTGTACTTATGGTGAAAATGAACTTTCTGGAAATCAATAAGAGAAGTGAATTAGCACCCAATGAGCCATCCTCAAAGGTCATCAAAAAATATGGAACCTACCAATGGGATTCCAAAGTTAACTATAGACTTCAACAAAAGTTATGGCATTGAAATTTTAATTTTTCATCTTTTCTACCTTATCCAAGGATCAAAGTCTGTACTAAGGAGATGTAAAAAAGACAATACTACATTAATCAGTTAAAATTACACCTAATTAAGTTTCATTATTTTTCCAACAGGAAAGCAATCTTCATTGTCTGAAGTATAATTTGAGCCAACTTTTGTGAAAATGGTTTTTATTTTGAAAGATTTTTTAAAATGGAATATTGCTACCTTAACCTCAGCATCAGTAGTTGAGTCAAAATATGTGTCAATATGAATTTCCTTCCCTCCTGTGTTCTGACTGGGTTGAAGAGTGGCCAACACAGATGCCAGCCTAACCCTTTCATGGCGTATGATCCTTCTTAGGATCATATCTTTTGAGACTGCTCTTGTGTTACTATTGAACAAAACTGGTTTTCACATGGTACCACTTAATAGTTCTCAAGTGCTCCTTGGTGATGTATCATTCGTGTAATTAGGTTGCAGTTCATGTAAGTTGGATCCAAAAACAAGGTTGTGAAGATAAGTTTTTTCATTTTCATGAAATGGAAATTTTGAAAAAGAAAAAAAATATTGACTTTTTTTTGGAAAAGGAAAAACATGCCTGCAAGCAGCGAGAATGAAAGGATAAAACTGGGACAAAGGCCAAGTTTTAGGGGCCCTCCATGTGTGAACAATGGCCTGCTGTTTGTATGATCCTTATAATTATCATCAGCCGCCAAGTGTTATCATATAGTGTAGTGCAGTGTACTTGGTTATTGTACTTATTATGGTTTGCCACTCATTTCCTTTTCCATTCTGTGAATCTAGCTTCTTGTCTTTATTTCACCAACAGCTGAGAATACAAAAGTAGTGCCTACCATGAAGCATATATTATTTGCTAGTTGTCAGGTTGTGATTGGACACGATGATAGAATGTTGTTTCATTGTAGTTTTTTTCCAAAAAAAAAGAAAACTGAAAGCGAGAGAAAGATTTTTTCATATAAAATGGTAAATACTCTGATTCTAAGGAATATTTTGATAATGTATCTCCCTCATTAGTCAGAGGTTTGGCTGACAGAGAAAGCAGGCAGAAAGATGCAAAGGCAAGACAGACAATAGTACTGTGAATTTTCCATTGTAGTTGATGCCTTCTATAACATTTGCTATACTGTATGTCAGACTAGGAAAATCTTTGCAAACCTGCAAATGAAGTTCATGGGAATGGAAACGTGTGGGCGGGTGGCCTGCTTAGTCCGCTTGCACATCCTTCTCGGGAAATTCCAATTTGTCGCCTCTGGTTCACAGGAAAAATATATTTTTTTCCTCCACTGCTATATGGTAACCTCTGCTCGGTGATTAACAGCTCCACAGCTGCCATAAGAATGCCATTTGTTGCTGTTTCAAAATGCTTTAGGAGAGTCTCTTGAAAATATGACTACAGCCCTCTTGAAATGGTTTACTGATATCGAACACAACTACGCATTACTGTGCATTCCTACCCCCCCTGCTTCCAAATGGACAAACATATTCTGCCAAAAGTGATATCCATAGGAACCTTTGCTTTTGATCTCAGCTCAATGTCACTCCCACTGGCAGAAGCTACTAACAACGATCTGTCAATCCACACAAAATGTTTTAATTGGAAGGATGTCCTTATTTCATATGCATGAGACACTATGATAAAGAGTGGCATGGTAATGTGAAAGTGTCTATTTGAACAAAAAACCCTGTAAATAAACTTAGAGAGTTTACATCATATTTGAGCATTCCTCTTGAAACATGGGGATTTCATGTTTACTTAATCCTTTCACGACTGAATTAAGAACACGAACCTGTAAATTTTGTGTGAAGCATGCTTACACTTTCATGAAAAGCCTGAAGTGCAATGTGCACTTATGCCTGATGAAGGACAAAAACTATTTCAAGGATATTCACTCTCTAACATAGTATTCATATTTACTTATGATGACCTCTTGTAGCTGATGATCCTTATAAATGATCATACTTTGTTTTTGAATGCATGAGTAAATATTTGAATTTCTCTGCAAGCTCTGTCTTTAGGTAGACCTGTTCAATAGAAAAAGTGCTGAAAAAATTTCCAGGTTATTTGTCTTCTTATTTCAGTCCTGAAAGGATTAACAGATCCTTGACCCCTGGTAGTGTTAGACAGGTGGCTCGACAATACAAGTTATTTTAACAATGTTACTATGGAGACCATGATTGGAACTGAACACTTTTGGCTGCAATTAGTCAGTGACTAGTATAGGGGGTAGTACAGAAGTTCTGTTCATAGGCATTCCTTTCACTGAATCAAGTGTTCAAACTGGTTGCCATTAACTGTTTCACAGGCATGGGTACAATGGAAAATACTCTCATGCACATGTGTGAGAGTCTCTTGTGAATGCCACACAATCTGTAAAATGGATTAAAGGCAACCATTTTGTACACTTGATTCAATGCAAGAGATTCCTATGAGATTGGACTTCTGCACCACCCAGTTTCGAGGTGGTCAGATGCACATGTTTGACTGTATTCTGTCTGTAATAGTACCAATAAGTGCATTGCATATATCTGACAAATACAAGCAAATGAGCTGGAAATCTTCCCAGTTGTTTATCATACCAATGTTAAAAACCTGGTTTGCAAAATAGGCCTGCCATGAAATATCAAACTCCTTTTGCTTTTGGTGCTGCTAACTCAGTGATCACCACCTCCCACTTTAATGCAAGTATAAACAGGTCTGTTTTGTGACGGGCCAAGGAGTTTTCAGGTGTTCTTTCATATCATTGTCTTTATGCCTTACCTGTGAAGAACAACCCTCGTTGCCCTTCCACATGATGTGCTTGCTTTGATTCCATGGGTTCTGCTTCAACATAGGGATCCAGAAGGACTCAGATGCTTCTACTACTTGGTCCAAGATCTCAAGTGTCTGGTATTCTCTCTCATCGGTCTGCACTTCAAAATCAAGCCCATTTAATATCCTGAAGTTCCCCCTGGCAGTGTGTGACTTTGACTTGTGCTTTGCATTGGAAGCGAGTTTGTCGGACCATTGAGATTCATGAGAGTCTCATTTTGATGCCAAGAGATGAGTCACCACTGATAACCTAATTCTTTCTAGAATAAAGGTGGTCATTCCCTTCTGCACCTTGGGTTTTCGTGTGCACCCAAGAAGTTGTCAAGGCAAGAGCGTGACTCTTCCGTTGAACCCTGTGGACCTATCCGGTATTTAGGAGTTACTGTAGGTATTGACTGGAGTTGGAGCAAACCAGATTGAGCACATCAGGAGTGGATTGCATAAAACTGACTTTAGCATAATGCCAGCTTTAAGCCTCCATTAGCGGTGGATTTCAAGTTACTTTAGCGAAGATTCTTAATATGTGTTGCATTTAAGGTAGTAGGGGAGGAAAAATCGACAGTCTGGGATTCGAAATCTGAAAAGTAATTGTTGTAGGGCAGTGGTTCTCAACCGGTGGTCCGCGGACCACTGGTGGGCCGCGGAGGTGCCCCAGGTGGGCCCTGACGAGTATCACTAAATTAAAAATAAAAATTTACTTAGTATAGTACCAGATGTACATTATCATTACTG